TGCATGGTCACAGTGCAAACACGTGCACGCATCAACCACCTCATTAACGGGGGAAGTTTCCTCTTTCATCTTCTGTGCAGGCGTTCACATCTTCATCCTCACGTCCAAACGATGCTGGAGGTGGAGTCGATCATCCCGTCAAAACAAAACTCAAACAAACCCGCTGGGACCATCTGCAGCTCTGACCCCGGGAAGGAGGAAGAACGCCGAGCTCCGCCTCCTGGTCCAGGAATACCAGGGCGAGGGCGGGATAGCGTGGCTGCTCGCAGCGGAGGTGGATGTTTGTTCCCACATCCGTCCATTTAAAGTCTGCCTGGGCGAGGACTGCACCGTCCAACATCACAGACGCACACCATCGCCTCCGAGAGGAGAGAACAACCGCACAGGTGGAGGAATGCAGCGGTTATCAGTCGTACAGACAGAGCAGGAAGGGTCAGAGCCGAACCTGAACCCTGTGACCTTTGACCCCGAGGCAACAGGGTGAACCTCGGCGTCACACTGTCAGTGAAGCCACATCATTTAAAAATCCTGATCCAGCAGGTCTGAGTCCAGCTCACAGCGACCACAGACGTCACTGTGGGAACAGAGTGTAATCAGAGTACTCTGCGGGGTCGTGCACACTGATTATGTGCTAACGGGGGGGCGGGGGACGGATCCGTCTCAGAAAGACATAATGAGTGCGGCTGCATGCTCTTCACTCATACCTGCTGCCATAGAAACGCCTGACGCAGACGCCGTGCTCACATTAGCTCACGGTGTCGACGCCGATGCTAATCTCGTGCTCGTTAAGCTGAGAGCCTCTGAACGCCGCCTCGTTCACGGGTCAGACAGCTTTCACCTGAACGCACGCGCAGCAGGAAGCTCAGAGTTTCATTCTCTGTCTCTGCTTCCTGGTCTGGTCTTTGTGGTCGATGCTGGTTTCCTGCTCCAGGGCTCAGGCCGCGGTCGGGTTGTGGGTTTGAACCCCTCTCGGGTCGTGACCTTTGACACGATTCATATCAGATTAACTCTCTCACGCGTCGCTTTTTGAGGTTAAAGAGTTCATTTGTTGTGCAAAGTGTTTGATTGGAGCTTTTTTAATGACATCACGTCCCAGTGCGTCTTCTTCTTTGGTGTTTAATGGCAGCAGCTGCAGAATCAGCAGGTCGGATGGATACGGACGTGTCGTCTCCTCGTCTCAGACACTGAAAGAAACAAACATGCTGCTTCCATCATCGTCGCAGTCATGGCAACCACCAATAAAGTGACATCAGCGGGTAACGAGGTCGACCTGATTTCCCTCCGTCTCCGCCGGGTTAACGAGGCTCTGACCTCGCTCTCCTCCTCAGCAGGCGGCGTGTTGTTGTTGTGAGCGTCTCGGCAGCATGAATTACATCTGAGCTGCGGCTGAGCGCGAGAGGCGAGCCTCCACCTGCTGGGTAACACGGAGATGACTGCGGGCGGAGGAGGCGGGAGGCCGGGCGGGGGCGCATCGTCAATAAATCCTGCAGAGTTTGGAGTTCAGTGAACGTAACACGACCCTCACCCAGCACCTGTGTCCTGTCACCACGGTTACTGTTTGCTCCTGTTTGGCTCTGCAGAGCAAAAACACAGCAGAGCTCCACTTTACATCCCAGCTGCAGGGCGAGAGGCGGAGCACGCCTGGACGCGTCACCACACGAAGAAAACAGGGAGCTGTGAGAGTTGAACCTGTGGTCACATGACCGCAGGTGGAGCTGCTTTACCTGCTGAGCCACTGAAGACTTGAGTGCAGTCTGAACCTGAGCTAACAGCAGTGTGAACCACAGAGAGCTGCACGTCACCTCAGAGGCTCTGATTGGTCCTCATACGAGCACCAAACATGGACTCCTCCTCCACAGGTG